ATGAAGTTAAAAGTTTTAAAAGCCTTGTCATGACTTTTTCTTTTTGTTGGATTCTCCCCCTTTGCGTTTAATTTGTCACGCCCAATGGATTCATTCTGCTGGGTTTCCTGGGGTTGTGATCCTCATTGTCTTTTCCTAGGATATTGTCTCCTTCTTGCATGGATATGTGAAGGGGGCACAGAGGTAAAAGAAGCAAGGTAATTTCAGATGGTGATAAATTCTACAAAGATGATACGTGGGGAAATGTGATAGACAATATAAGGAACTAAGCTTTGTCAGTATTAGAATTTCTGTAGGCTTCTTTTCCCCAAAAAACTAACTATTTCCACTTCTTCCATAATTTTTTTTTTTCAGTACTGGGGATTGAACTCAGGACCTTGCACTTGTGAGGTAGGCGGTGGCACACCACTCAGCTAAATACCTGGCTTCCATATTTTTTTAATGTGATATGTTTTCTGATTCCAAGATAGAATACTTAGACCTCACTGGGGAGAGTTTCTTTTATTTGTTAAATATCTGAATAATTTGATTGTTCGAAGTAGACACATGACTCCAAATGTGAGTTACAGATACAGTGAGGATATGTTCTTCCTTAATTTGGAAGTCATACACCTGTGACTGCAGTCAAAGTCTGCAGAGACCCTTTGGCAGGCCTTGTACTTGTTGATTCTGTGTTTGTTGTGAGTTAATATCTCTGAGGTCCTTTCCAAGTGAATATTAAAAGTCAAACTTCTCACATCTTGTACTAGTCTAAATGATTTTTGAAGGCAAGAAATTTACAGAGATAATTCATCAAATTTTGTTTCAAGAGTTTTGCCTTGGTAGATACTTCTGCCAGTTGAGTCTGCCATCTAACATATTAGGTACCTCTCCCAGCTTCAGGTCATCTGCGAGTGTGACAACATGAACTCTCAAACCAAATTTCCCTTTCAAGTATTGAAAAGTACAAAAAACGGAGGTGCACACACCTCACCTTCAGAGTAACATCATCCACTTAAGTCACTTGGCCTTGGTTGCTTAGTAAGTTAGGAAATCACCTTTCATTTCTCCATGTTGCCCTTGAGAATATCAGATTTTGGCAAAAAGTTTTGCCAAGATCAAGCCACTACATTACCTGCTTGGTAATTCCATCAAAAAAGCAAATTAGTCTTATGGGACCTGTTCTTAATGCTTTCAAGTTGGCTTCCATCATTTGTACATCGTCTGCCTCAAATAGACATCTTTTTTCTTGTTTCTCCTGCCCTAAACACAACTAAAACAGTAATTATTGTCCTCAGGATTTTTGCATGTCTCAGCTTTTCCTGCAACTGCTATTTTGGGGATCTTTTGTCAAATTTTTTTGTGCTAATTCTTTTAAAACCTAAGTATACTGAAAAACCATGCAGGTAATTTCTCTGTTTTATTTTCTGCGTGTCCACACATACACAAGCTTGGATTGTTTCTGGCTATGGTAATACAAATGTTAATTTTTTATAATCTTTCAAATCCCTTAAGATGCCTTGCTTTTTGGAGTTACTGGTCACAGAATTATTCTTTCTTTTCTTTTTATTTTATAAAATCCTATTTTTTCCTTTCTCTTTCTTCTTTTGTGTGTGTTATGTTAGGGGGTGGGTACTGGGGCCTTGTGCATACTAGGCAAACATTCTTCCACTGAGTTACATCCCCAGCCCTGAAATCTACTTTTCTAAAGTTTACCATGTGTGCTGATTTTTTTTAGAATTCTCTTTCTGAACTATGTTATAGGACTTTATTTCCTTTCTTTTTGGTACCGGGGATTGAACTCAGGATCTTTTGCTTTAGAGGCAGGTGCCAGAACCACTGAGCTAAATCCTCGGCCCGTTATAGGACTTTAAAACAGCGTGGTTTCCCTTCATTAATCTTAAGACCCTGGGTTAACAAATGGTCTTTGGAGTCAGATAGATGTAGGTTGGGCTTTCAAGTTCTTTATTACTAGCTTTGTACCTTGTACTAGTTAACCTTTGTAACCCTTAGTTTCTTCTGTAAAATGGGAATGAGCTCAGAAGCCTGTGAGAGGATTAAAGCAAGTAATTCCCAGCAGGTAGTCAGCACTCAATAGATGTTAATTTTTGTAATTATTTCAAGTATGTATTATGAGATTAAACATGTTATATGCTCAATAAGTATATGCTATTATCATTTTTATTATCCTTGTACATTCAAATTATTATCTCTGTACATTAGGATTGAATCATGTTCTGTGCAATGAAGGTATCTTTTCCTCAAGCTTCTTCTGTTATCTTTAAGTAGGAAAGAATTTACTAGATTTATTTTCTTTCAGAGTGTCAGTCTTTCTGGTATTCAAAATTTTATTTTGGCTCATGGTTTCAGGTGTCTCAGTACATATTCACTTACTCCATCGCATTGGGCCTGTGATGAGGCAGAATATTATGGGAGTTGGTGCATAGTGGAGCAGAGCTGTCAACTCACAGAGCTGGGGAAACAGAAAGAGCAAGGAGAGGCCATTGTCCCAACGTCCGCTTTATGTGAAAGCCGCAGTGACATGACTTCCTCCAGTTAGACCCCTCCTCCTAAACTTTCCCTTGCCACTCAATAGTGCCATCAGCCACAAAGCCTTCAACATAATGAGATTTGGGAGGATATTTAATATTCAAATCACGACACATAGTTAAACCATATCTGAAATCATAGTTTGCCACCAAAACTTTCTCATTTTCTTCTAAGACCAGCTGGGGATATTCACCATCATTATTCTTTTTAACACCTGATGTTTTCCATCACAATATCATACCTAGTTATTGTTTTGTCTGAATCATTTGCTCTCTCATCAAATGGTAATGTAAAGTGCTTTTAATCAGTTAATGAATCTCTTACCGCATTGTTCTTTTCCTGTTCTGCCTTTTGCCAAGAGCCTGTTGCTCTTTATTATTGTAAGCCCCAGTCCAGGAAAATCAAATGTGTTTTTCACAGGAAGCTAACATTTCCTTTCCAGCATCTCCTTTTCATTTCCAAGGTCATTACTTTAAACTGGAATATGAGATAAAATGAATCTTCAGTGTGTGGTCATTGGTACTATGTTCATGATTTCACAGCCCTCTGAGGAGCACACCCCAGATTGCTGCGAGTGGCTTTGTCCCTCTCCACGAAGCTCAGTAGCAGTGGGTAGTGTTACCAGCCTTAAGAACTCTTGGCAGACTCTTACATTTCAAGTACGTAGTTAAAAAACTAACAAATCAAATTGATTACAACAATTGTGAACATTGTTTTGTCCAATCTTTAAAAACTAGATATAGTTGAATGTGTGTTTTTACATCATGAAACATGTTTGAAGTGATACTGGATATAGAATTTGGAATATTGCTTAATACTATAGAAAAGGTGTTTTCCCCCTTTTTTTTTTGATGGCCTGCATGTTCTGAGAATAATATTATCCTGCTTTTTTGCTCTTAGTAAGGAAGAACCTAACCAAACTGTAACTAAATCCTAACCACTAACTACTCTCCTAAACTAGGACTTCTTCCTCTTGGGTCTTGGGATGATGTGAGATGGCATTAAAGCTTCATTTTGTTTCATCCTCTAGGAAACTTCTTCAAGATCAAATTTTTAATGGTTCTATTATACTTCACCACTTAGATTGCAATTTGCTACTCCCATTTCCTTAATAATACCTTATAATTTTATTCTAGGTAGCCCTTTATTATATCAGAAGGAAGATTGTTGAATTATACATAACAAACATTTTTAAGGCTTTGTTGTTTATTGCTGTCCTTCTTTTCAAAAGATTATATAGATCATATAGATTTATACTTCTATGATCAGTGTATGAGACTGTTTCCCCTCACATTTTACAAGCTGCACATTTCCCTTCTAAGATACTTTTTTTCTAAGTAATCTTTGTTACAAATCATGTCAACTAGAAATTAGATTGTTTGTCCCAGTCCTGACCTTTATCACCTTATGTATACAGTACACACTTCACCTAACAAGAAGGCTCATACACAGCAGTAGAAACAAGAAAAGTTCATTTGTTTGATTTTCAAAATAAAAATGCTGAGGTGTATAATTAATGCAATGGTAATTTTATTCAAATTTATTAGATTATCCTAGAGAAAGAAAACCAAGACAAAATTCTATCTGAAGCAGTTATCACATTGGTAAATTTTAGCATTCAATATACAGATTTACTTGTACAATATGTGATTCTTTGTAAAAGGGACACAACTGATATTTTACATCTTTTAAATAATCGAAGATTCTGAGGGCAGGAATGATTCTTCTGTGCCTTTTATAGGCAGAGAACCACAGAGCATTAGAGCTGAAAGCAGCCTCAATATTTCCCTAGTTCAGCACTCTTTTTCTGCAGATGAGGAAATGGAGTCCTGGAATTATGGAAGGACTTGCCCAAGGATAACAGCTAACTAAGGGCCAGTAGATATTACACCCCATCTACCCTTCTCCTCTTTCAGTGCTCCTACCAGTGCCTGCCCTCAAAGGTCAATCTAGTAAGAAAAGAGAGTACCACCTGTCTTATTTAGTGCAGGTTCATTTGAAATGGCTCTCCAAAGCACGTATGATCAGACTTCTCATCCCAACTTTCCATTGGCTGGTTTATTTTTACAGCCCATCATCCAAAGCAGATACACACTATGAGATATAAGAAAAGTATATTTAGTTTAATTTGTTTGTATTGTCTTTATTTCTAATAAATTTATATGAAATATAAAACATTCAGGTTAACAAATAAGGATTTAAATATGGACATAAAATTAAAAAAGAGAAACCCAGTTTCCATCTACCATCAGAGTTAGAGCAATGGCTGGGATTGAATGTAAAATTTGGTCATGACTTTATGCAGCCTGAGGTGAGGGATAAGGAAGGGAAAAGTAGAAAGAAGAAAGGAAAAGAGGGAGAAAGAGAAGGATATGGGATAATTCTTATTAGCTAACAGGATGTTCTTTCCTTATCTGCAGTCTGCTTTCTGTAGTTTCAGTTACACTTGGTCAACTGAGGTTCAAAAATAATAAGTGGGAATTACAGAAATAATTCATAAGTTTTGGGGGCTGTCTGAGTATGTTGTCATTCTGTCACTGAATACCATGAGTCATCCTTTGTCCAGAGTATCCATACTGTTTAGGCTATATGCCTATGTTACTTAGTAGTTGTCTAGGTTACTGGATATGCTGTGTTAAAGGTTCAAGTAATCATTATTTTTAATTCATAATGGCCCCTTTAGGACAAGAGCAGTGACGCTGGCAACTCAAATGTGCCAAAGAGAAGTTGTAAAGTGCTTTCTTTAAGTGAAAATATGAAAATTCTTGACTTAATAAGGAAAGAAAAGTTATGCCAAAATTTCTAAATTCTAGGAAAGAACAAATCTATCCTTGAAATGGAGAAGGAAACAGACATTTGTGGTAGTTTTGCTGTTGCACTTCAAGCTGTAAGATTTCCTGCCATAGTGTGGGATGAGTACTTAGTTAAGATGGGAAAGGTTTTATATTTATGAGTATAAGTATAAGAAATAACACATTACTGTATAGATGTTGGTACTACCTGTAGTTTAGGACATCCATTGAGGGTCTTGGGACATATTCTCTGTGGATAAGGGGGAATTATTGTATTAAGTGATATAAGGTTCTTAATACCCATCTCATTGTGAATAATGAATTGGAATTTATAAAGCTTATTCTTGTGACATTTTTTGACAAAATAGAACAAAGATAAAGTAGCATAAAAATATTTTCTTGGGATGATAAGATAATGAGGTTCAAATTCATAGAGTTTTGGTGGTCCAGGCTAAGATGGGAATAAAAACGATAATATTTACAGATATCATGTCTCTCAGACTCTCTTAACTGAATGCTTAATAAATACAATAACTCTTAGCTGGATTTTTAATAGTTGTTGATAGTTGAGATCAGATTTTCAAGAGGGTGTTCTGTTCTGCTAATTAAAGACAGATGTATATATTTTGCAAACCAGATGAATGGGTGAAAGGTCAACATTTGTTATAGTAATAGAGAAGTCTATTAATAATCTTATGTGAAAGGAAGGCAGGTCTCTGCCAAGCATGGAAGATCCCTTAGAATTTGTACATAATGGATATTTCACAATTCCCTGGGATGGAATGGCATGAATATTTCAAATTGAACCATCACAGCCAGAGAAAAACCTCTGTTAGATCTGAGAGTCATATCTACTTCTCAGTAGCATGTCTTCCTTGTGGGTCACTGGAATAAATTAGCCACAAAAAAAGCATTCAGGAAACTATATGATTTAACCACCACAAGGAGTTATAGGACATTAGCAAATTCAGTCGTGGAGTCTGTCACACATAAGGACATTTGTTTTTGTTTTGTTGTAGTCAGTGTTCATTGCCTTTTCCTGGTCAGTCTAATAAAATCATTCTGTCTACATATACACTAGGGCTGTTTCGTGATTGTGACTGATATATCTAGAAACTATTTGTGTCTTGCTAATTTTAGCAGTGGAGTTAGAATGCAGATTTCTCAGCTTTATCCAAGGATCTACATGGAATTCTTCTACAGCTTAGTGAATGAGAGGGATTTACTCTTCCTATTAACTACACTAATAACATATTTTAAAGGATGTTTTTGATTGCCTGATTGCCTGATGGTGTTATTGGATGGCTTCTTGTTAGAAACACATGGTCCTGAGGGATGGTTTGTAACATAAAAGATCAGTATGAATCACAAAAGGTCAATATTCAATCAAAAGTTTTTCACGTATTCCCATAACTCAGATGAAACCTGAAGTCCTCAACATGGTCCCTTAGTCATGTGTAACCTACCTTCACCTTCAACTCAAGGCATCATCTTAGCCCTCTATACTCTCTCTTCATCTTTCCCATCAAAGGACTTTCACCACTGCTATTCTTGCTGCCCAGAATGCTTGATATCTGGCTTATTCTTTCTTGTCTTCAAGGTCTCAGGGCATATGTACCTTTATAATCCTTTCTCATCCCAAATTAGATTCCCTAGTTACACTCTCTCATGCTGTCCTATACTTTCCTTTGTAGCCTTTACCACAGTTTTGAATTATTGCATTTATTTGAGTAACTATAGGTTACAAGTGGATGATAAGTTCCAGAAGGCTCCATACCTGTTTGTTTTGCTCAGATATGAATGCTCAGGTCACAGGAATGGATGGAAATTTATAGCTTCCATGATTGTAGTTCCATTTGGCATTGAGCTTTGAATATTCATTTTTTATAGAGTTCTTATCACTTAAAATGAAAAGATAAGCATACATTCTTTCCTTCCTAGCATTCCCTTTATCATGTGGTGCAGGCTGGTTATAAGGAAATTTCTTCTATGGACAGTGGGAGAAAGAGGTGCTCATTCTCTGAGGAGGGAGCTGATGAAAGCCCAGTGTGGAAACCATGCAGCCTCCTAGCTGTATTCCTAGCTCAGTAGAAAGGCTTGGGTACCTTGAAAGATGAGGGAGGATGTTGGTGCCCAACTAGTAGGGACTATCTTCATTCAGGTGTCACCTAGACTGGAGGAGTTCACAGCAGCCCAGTGTTCACCGCTCAAGATAGCAGCCAAGGTGTGCCTAGATCCTAGATCCTCTAGGCCACCCTCAGGAGAAGTGCACGCTGAAGGGAAGAAATGACTAAATGGCACAGAAGCTTGGTAACATAGAATATAATCAATTATTTCTCTAAAAAGAGAAAAATAAGCTTCATTTTAAGCTATAATTTTCCTGTTTCTTTGTCTATCAAGTATGGATTTCTCAAAAAGTAAATTTTATTTTCTTAGGGATATAAACTGACTTAGAAGGAAAGAGAACCCAAAGTAATATATCCTGGTGGAGAGATGTTGCGTGCCAAGAAGGGCTTGGTTAATTTAGAGCCACTGGGTGGAATCCTAAAATCACAGGGCCAAGAGTCGGGAGACTGGGTTTGCATCCTTGTCTCAGCCCTGCTCAGCTCATCACTTCCTTTTATGGAGGTCCTCAGTTTCCCCACTATGAAATGGAGGGCTTGGTTGAGATTATAACTAAGATCACAGGTGTTTTCATGCAATATGATTCTAAATGAGAAGAGAAAAGCAAGGGAGAGAGGAAAAAAGGAAGAAAGATTGGTTAACTTTTAATATTGGACCTACGGTAGTTGAGTAGAATCAGTTCAACTCTTAATGACAGAAAACTGAAAATAATAGTGACTTAAACAAGTCTGAGGGGTATTTTTTTCTCAAGTAAAAGTCTAGATATTGGGTATCTATGACTAGAATGGAGAGTCAGGGGCCCAGGTTCCTTCCATCTTGTCCTATGCCAAGGTCATATTATGATCCAGGCTGGCAGCCAGTCATTGCCTACACTCCACTGATGAGAGCTTAATCTTATGGCCATATCTACCTGCAAGGGGATCCTATCGTATGCACCTTGAGACCATAATGTTAAGTGAAGTACATCAGGCACACAAACTTAAATATCACATGGTTTCTCTTATATGAGAAACCCAAAGTACAAATAAAGAGGAAAATAAAAGATAGATAATAGGAAATAGGGAGATCGATCCTTCTCAGAGAGGAAGGGGATCGAGAGATGGAAGGAGGGCAGAAGAGAGGAGAGGAAGGGGATTAAAAATAATTAAGATGTTATGTAAGTGTATCAACTCCCTATGAAGAATGTAATTATTATGTACTGCAAACATGTACTAATAAAAAATAAAAGTTAAAACAGGGATATATCATATATAGTTTTATTCTGGATGGCCCTGAAGACTACTGCTGCTGAGGAGTACCATAAGAGAAGAACAGATATTACAGGATAAGTAACAGGTTCTGCTAGAGCAGGATTCCCAAGAAAGGTTAATTAGGAAGAGATACAAAAATTGTAGAACAGACTGTTAGTATTGAAAATGGAACCCAGATTATTAAGTCTGCTTATTTTGTAATTTGGCAAAAATACAATAGAGCAATCGGCTTTTAGCTTCTCAGGAAAGGCAGAAACTTTGGTTTGGTATGAAAATGCAAAGCCACGATCAACAAAGGAAGAGAAAACAGACTTTTGGGACCATGTGTAGACTTAGGAAGTAGGACAAGATAGAAGAATATGCTAGGAAAACAGTGAACTCTAGCCACATGTTAGGGAGAATTCAGAGCCAAGAAAATTTAAACAAGACAGAGGGGAAATCAAAGTTGTCAAAATTAGCACTCCAGCGAAGTTAAATGTCTATAATTTGCTTTCTTGTTTGTAGCTTATACCCTGAGATTTCTCATATTATCATTTCTGTGTGAGATTGCCAGTGAATCATAAAAGGTAAGAGAGATGGAAGAGGATAGAAAATCAAGGCCTTTACTTTCATATTTGTAGCCCAAAGAAGGTATCCAGATCTTTCTTCACCTTCCATAAACTATGGAGAGGGCAGAAGAGCCGGTATCCCTAGAAAGCTAGGAGATGAAAAGTGAAATTTGCTGCAAGGCATAGAAGGACCGAGACTTATTCAGTTGCTCATCTGTTACAAAGCTTTGAACCTGGCCACCCTACCCATACCTTTGCCTTAGGAATGAGGACACTCTAGGCGAACATCTCAGGTAAAAGAAAGAGATGAAATTAATTTAAGAGAGGGTTTTCACTTGCCCAGCAATCTCTTTACACTATGCTCACATTCTCATCCCCTT